TTGCTCAAGGTTCGCTTATGAGTGAGAACATGTGATACTCAGTTCTTTGTTTCTGTGAAAGATCACTTGGTATTATAGACGCTAAATCCATCCAGGTTGCTGTGAAGTTCATGATTTTGTTCTTCTTTATGGCTGCATAATATTCCATCGTGTATATGTACCACATTTTTTTTATCCAGTCCTCTTTTGATGGGCAGCACAGTTGGTTCCATAATAATATGTTTTTATGTGCTATTACTATTCCTCCTACAGAAGATGATAATCTAGCTCTCATTTACTCCTTCACCTCTATTCACCTCAATCCTGCACATACACACATGAATATTTCCTGTCTTCCCATTCTTCCAATTTATTATTCACAAATAAATTATGCATAGATAATGTTGGTGGTGAGAGCAAGATTCAGTGTTTATGTTACTGATACTTCATGACTGAGCCATATAGTATATAATTATATAACTTTTGTTTTTCTTTCCATATTTTGTTTGTTTTTAATAACTATCTCAGCCAGAAATCATGGTTCACACCTGTATTCCCTGCACTTTGGGAAGGCGAGGTGGGAGAACTGCCTGAGCCCAAGAGTTTGAGGCTACAGTGAGCCGTGATTGTGCCACTGCACTCCAGCCTGGGTGACAGAGTGAAACCCTGTCTCAAAGAGAGAGAGAGAGAAAGAGAGAGAGAGAGAGAGAGAGAGAGAGAGAGAAAATCTATTTCTAGAATGCAAACTTCATCTCTGTTTCATTCACTACTACATTGCTATTACCTATAACAGTGTCAGAAACATTAAGGTATATAATATGCATTGGTCTCATGCCTGGGCTCTTATATCAGCATCTGGTAAAGCCAGATCTAGCAGTCTCTTTAAAATGTGAGCTATCTCTCTAATTTTTCAAACCATTTATGTCATAGACCCCTTTTAGGCAAGTGATATGCTAGAATCTTAGTAGTTCTAGCACATAAAATCTTATTTGTTTTGGTTAAAGTGAGTTTGGAGAGCTGAAAACAGTAATGTTTTGGTAAATGTTTAAGAGTCACCTCTCCAAAGAAAACAATAAGCCCTGGGTTATGCCATTTGCCAATTTTCATGGTGTAAATATTCCCACCATGGCCTATTGTAAGCTACGAACATAACATCACTAAACATAGAATTGGAAAGAAGTGTGCACAATCAACTCTTAGAATTCAAATTGTTTCCAGCACACCATTGATTGAAACACAGTATCTGAAACTCCCTCTCCCCATTCCTTTCCTCTTTCTCTCCTACAGAACTTCTAGGGATTCTCAAAACATAGCTTGGAAATCCATGAAGGAAAATGATATTTTTAGGGTAGAGATGGAAACACTGAAGCCTAGAGAAGGGGATAAACCCAAGCCTCCTGATACTCATTGCAATGCTCTTTCCATTGCATTATGTTGCCAATAATCTAATTAGTATTCATTTTCCTACTTCAAATTTTCCCACCCTATTCTACTGATGTGTTGCAAACACATTTGGTCCTAAGCAACTGCTTTCAGCAGCAGCAGGCCCCTGCTCCACTCTAGAATGTTCTACGGCTCCCCATAGAAGCCTATAAAGTCAGGTCTAGGCATCTTGGCCTAATTTTTAAGACCATTCACAATCTGGCCAAGATTTTCTTCTCCTACGTTTCTGCATACACACCAAGCTAAAAACCAATTGACTTTCTCCCCCTTCACCACAATCATTCTCATCTCTGACTGCCTCTGGACTTTGGCTCTCTACCACTTACCTGGAATTCCTTTCCAGTTATTTTTGCCTATCCAATAATAAACAAATTTCACATTCCAGCCCATACCCCAGTTCCTCTAAGTAGCTTTCTTAGACCATTGAAATCCATGGTCCTTACTACCATCTTTAAACTCTCATTGCACAAATTAGTTTCTGCCACTCCCTTGTCCCTTAGTTTGTGTGGCCTCTTATTGTTAGTTTGTTTTTGAACCCATGTACTATCTTTTCATGTATCTTTAGGCTGATGTCTATATATGTTTTTGTGTATATGTATGTCATATCTGTGTTTTTAAACATGTGTTCATATGCTGATATGCATGTATTATTTCCCTGTGTTCTGTTTGATTGTATGAATCTGTGCTTCAATGCTTGTTTTGTGTGTTTCTGTGTAGGTCTATATGTATTTGTGTGTCTACATGCATGTTTTGTGTATCTGTGTTCTATGTGCTTGTGGGTTTCTGTGTGTATATTTTGCTTGCTGTATATCAATGTGCTCATAGTTTCTGCTCAGAATCATTTTGTATATATATGTATATCATACACAAATGTGTGACTGCATATCTATGTGTATATGTGATATTTTTGAGAGTGCGTGTGTGTGTGTGTGTGTGTGTGTGTGTGTGTGTGAGTCTTCAAGCAGAATCTGTGTGGATTTCCTCTTTGTACCGCTGCTTCCCTCCAACTAAGCCAAAGCAGTGGTGCACATACACACAGGAAGGTCACAACTAATGTTTGCCCATTGATAAATTTATTTAGTCTGCCCTTTCAACCTTTTTCCAGGAAGATACATTATAAGGTGGAAGGAGGCATGGAGCTATAGTGATCTCTGGATACTGGGCCTCAAAGGGTGCAATTCATTTTCTCTGCTGCTCACCCACAATATGTGAACCCTTAACAAATGCACTGAGTTTGGAGATAAGAAAAAGGTGGATTCCCTCTCTCTTCTCTCTATCATTTCTAGCTGTCTCAAGTATAGCCCTGGGGTATGGAAGATAAAATGCACAATTTTCAAAAACAGACCAACTTGAATGGGAAATCTCACTTCTGCCACTTCCCAGTTGTGTGACCAAAGGCAGGTTTCATGATGCCACTAGACCTTCGTTTCTTCAATTAGAAAGGGGTATTCATAACGCCTTTTTTGCAAGGTAAGGCCTAAGGGTAATGTAACTATCCCAGAGCAGGAGCTCTATAAATGGAAGTTTTTTTTGGTTTTGTTTTTTGAGTGGGGGGTGTTTTAAGTTGGTGTCTCACTCTGTCACCCAGACTAGAGTGCGGTGGCATGCTCCCGGCCACTGCAGCCTCGACCTGCTGGACTCCGGCGATCCTTCTGTATAAGCCTTCCAAGTAGCTGGAACTACAGGCGCGCGCTACCATGCCTGGCTAATTTTTTTGTTGTTGTTGTAGAGATGAGGTCTCGCCAAGTTGCCCAGGTGGGTCTCGAACCCGCGGGCTCAGGAAATCCATTCACCTCTGCCTCCCAAAGCACGGGATTACAGGCTGAACCACTGGGCCCGGCATAAATGGAAGTTTTAATATAACTTCCCCTGAGAAGCCTTCCCACACTACTATGGCCCTCACTAAATACTGTCTAAACCACAAATTTTAAACCTCAGTTGATAATCTACTTTGCCTGAGTGTAAACGTGTATATGACCAATGGTCTAATTGCACGTGTGTGACTTGCTTTTATATACACTAAAATCTCACTCACCCAAGGGCCACGTATAACATTTCTTCTCTGTTCCTCACAACATCCAAAGAAGATCTGGAACTATTGTATAAATGGTCATTAAAGTTATGAAGGAAGTAGAGTACTGTGGGGCTTAACAGTATAATTTTTGGAGGCATATAAATAGGAGTTTGAATTTTGTCAAGAGACCCTCAATACAGGAAAGTGATTTCACTATTCTGGGCTTTATATTCATTTGCAAAATTGGATTTTACCCAATCCATTCATTCAACAAGTATTTATTGAGTATCTCTTATATACTAGGCACTCTTTTAAGCACTGGAGATGCGTCGGTGAACATGGCATACAAAAATTCCTGCCTTCATAAATCTCAGATTCCAGAGTAGGAGACAGATAACAAACAAGCAATTCGGTAAAAATGCAATATGTAAAGTAGTTGTAAATTCCACAAAGAAAAAAGCTTAAGCACGTAAAGAGTGACAGGGAGAGATACAAGAGTAAGTACAATGATACCCATCTGAAGCGTTGTAAGAACCAAGTGAAAAAAATCCATGCAAAGTGCTTCATACAGCAACTAGAAGAGTACAATATCTTAAAACAACAGCTATCATTGCTATAGTTCTTACTGTAGGTATATTATAGTTTGATTTTTAAAAATCTAAGAAGCTACAGGCATCAAGTCGAACCATGCTCATGTTACAATTGAGGAGGATGCAGTTCAGAGATTTGACCTTGGGTTCAGAACGAAGTAAACGCAGAGTTAGATCTGTCTCCAGGCTTATTGACTTCCCATCCAATTCTCCCACTAATCAACAAGGCTGAGTTTGCTGCAAGGCTGAAATTCTTTCCCAGAGAAAAGCTATGCATGCTTCACAGGACATTTCTTTATCTTCGTGTCCAGAAGGTCCTAACAAGATGCAAAAGCCAATTCAAAAAATGCACAGTCACAAGGGCAGGAAGAAATTGACACTAATCCAGTGGGGTAAGAGTTTCTGGCTCTTTAGCGTGGAACGTTGTATGGGGAGAGGAAGAGTGCATGTGTGTGCGTGTATGTTTATATGTGGTGGTAGTGGTGGTAGAGTGTTGGTTGAAAAATACAAAAAGAGGGTTTTCTGAAGCTGGAGATTCCCTGAGTGAGGTCCCAATGGGGGAAAAATAGCTAGAAGTTACAGTGAAGTGAACTAAACAAAAAACAAGGGACAACCAGACAAGGGGTAGGGGACTTGGGAGGCAAAGAAACTTAATAGAATTCCATGTGATAATGAGACCTGAAATTCCAGGATCTCCTCTTAGCCCTTGCATAGCCCCAAATCATCTGTTTTTGGCCACCCCTTGGTAAGTATGCCTCTCTTTAGAGTCCAACTCCCTGTCTCTTGCAAGATCCCCCTTCACCCAAACAAGGACTAAAAAAAAATAAACTTAGACCTTACTTACAGAGAAGTATAAATGTTTTGGACATATTCATGCTTGTGGAAGTGCTTATATTTTTAAATCTTGGTAGACAAAAGGCAGTACTAAATCTAGAGTTAGACTGCTAATGAATTTAAAATCACTCTAATAGAGCATGCCATTATCAGACCAATGGGCTGGTGCACTGGAGGTTAAGCTTAAACTTCCCTTAAAAGAAGTAAATAATATATTCTTTGCTAAAAATATATATATGTGTGGGGGGGGGACTTTAGTGAAAATAAACTCCCCCTGACCATAAGAGAGGTAGAGCTATTAGAGAGGGAGATTCAAAGAGCACTCCCAATATGAGATCTGGGGTATATTTGTTCATAACAGCCTTATCCATGGGCTTGCCAATTATTCAAGCTTTGGTGTGTAGAAGATCCTTTTGCACACTAAACTCTTGTACTCTGAAACCCACAGGCGACCCATCCTCAATACAACCCCAACTACCAGTCATTTGCAAGATAGGCTGAATAGGCAATGGTTAACAGTACAACTAACAAAAATTGCATAGGTCAGAAAGTTGATCTCTTCTCCCTGGAACCACCACAAAGGAAAACGCATCCATACTGGAGTGAGCAAACTTATCCCATAGGTCACCCCACCCCCAACCTCTGAGTCTTGTGGAGCGGATCAAAAATAAACAGGCTGGGAGACCAAATACTAGAGAGTCTCACTGGCTCCAGGGAAAGTCAAGTCGATACCCAGCAGGGGGAGGAATTGCTTCACTGGCCCTGGTACCGCCAACTCTGGGCAGGGGAGACGGGGAGATCCCATGTGACCCGTACTGAAATAGGGAAGGAAAGGTAATGTGTGATGGGACTAGGGATTCAAATGAGAGATGTATGGAAGGAAAGAAAGTAAGCAGCACAGACACTGGCAGCTACCCAAAGTTCAAGTCTCTTTGGCAGCAAGATGCTGGAAGAAAAGACAAAAATGGCTTTGGCTGTGATGAGGATCTTAGGGCCTGTTACTCCTGGGCCACCTAATGGTGGTCACCTATGGTAAGACAGTAAATGGGGGCCTGCCTGTCACTACTGGTACAGGCAAAATGCAGAGAGGGAGGTTGGTATTTAATGCCTACTATAAGAAAGCTTATTCCTGCTGGGCAGGTGAGTATTCTCAGTCAACTCTGCAGGCTCTCTCAGTTTTGGGCAAAAGGGAGAGAGGTGATTGAAGGCTGCTGAAGAAGCCAGGAGGCAAGTTTGGGTAGAAAAAGGATTCCCTCTTTAAACACGTGTGAATGATTTTCTAGTGCTTGCTGTATATCAGGGACATCAAGAAGCACTCAATGCCACTCAAACCCCTCCTCTGCCTACTTTCTCTCACCTGATATTCTACCATTAGTCTTGCCCCCTCTGTTCCCAGGTTTTAGTGCCTGTTAAGATATACAGCTTCCAAAGAAGGAATGTTGTCTAAAAATTGGATGGGGATTTAGAAATAACATATACCACCCTTCATTGTTATCAACAAGTGCTCAGCAGTACCTCAGTAGTGACTAGGAGTTCACTACTTCTCCAAACCACTTAGTATCCAGGAGCACCTCCAAGTGGTTAGAAAGTTCTTACTTGTATTGAACTAAATCCAACTCCCTGTGACTTTTCCAAAAGCCCCAGCACTGCTTATTGCAGCTACCCAGAACACAGCTCCCTTGAGACAACCTTCCAAAGGTCTGAAGACAAACATTATGTCTCCATGAGTCTTGTTTTCTCCAAGGTAAACATTTCCAGCTTTTTCAACTGGTTTTCATAGGACTGGCTTTTTACCCTCTCTTGGGCTAAATCACTTCCCAATAGACATGGTTCAGTTTGTCTGAGCTGTTTGTGGGCTGGATGCACGTCCCAAAAAAGACTAGACTATTCCATAGTAGCATTAATTACTTGAGTCTTCCTCCACCCCCGTTTACACCCCCGAGAAGTGAGATGGCTTTTTAGGAAGCTAAGCCTGAGTAGTAGCTCAGTGAGATCCAAGATAGGGTAACGAGGTTCTTGCTACTACCCTGCTTGTTCTAGCTCCCTAAAAAAAAGGATGTATTAGTTAGTTAGTTAGCTAGTTAGCTAGTTAGCCAGTTAGTCAGTTAGTCAGTCAGTTAGTCAGTTAGTCAGTCAGTTAGTTAGTTAGCTAGTTAGCTACTTAGTTAGTTTAGTGTCACTTGTGAGGTCAGAAAAAATCCATCTTTCCATAACCGACTCAGATAAGGTTACCCTATCCTGGGGCTCTGTGATCCATCAAACTCTAGAACCTCAGAGCTAGAAAAGACCTCAATTAAGTCAATTAAGAGGGAAAAGAGTTTGTCCTCAGTCACAAAGCATTAGTGGTAGAGTTATTGCTCTTTAAAATAGTGTTTTTTATACAACTATAGTATTTCCATTTTCTAGCAGGTTTTATAATGGACCTTTCTGCCTTCTCCAAATATGTTGGTCTGAGCTGAAACTTATAGAGACAGGTCTGGGGTTTGGAGGAAATTTTATGTGTTAAATTTAAATTGTGTGTGTGTGTGTGTGTGTGTGTGTGTGTGTGTGTGTGTGTGTGTGTGTGTGTGTGTTGGACAGCTGGACAGCTCTGTAAGATGGTGATTTCATGCTAAAAAGTCCCTAGTGTCCAGAAACAGCTGTTAACCTCTTCCTGTGGGGCTAAGACTCGTGTTGAAATAATCATAATAAAAAGAAATCCTAACATTTTCATTTTATAAACATTTAAAACATGTTATAGATGTCTATTATCTAATCTAGTCCTCTAAAAGAGGCCTACCTGGAGAAGGAGAGAGGCCAGACCTGCATGGTAGGGGTGGGGGAGAAAAAACATGAGAAATCTCACCCTCTCCAATTGGAAATTCCATCCTCTTCCAAAGAGGAAGATTCAGAAAAGGACCAAGAATGGGTCCTATAAAGAGGCCCACACCTAGAAAATTTGGGTTTTGTTTTCTTCAGGGTCATTACACAGGCTCCAGACTTTTGCTTTTCTAAAAGTCTTTTTACTTTTCACTGTCCCCTCAGTCTCAAGTCAAACCCTCCTTCAACAAAGTCCTTTGAGTCAATGTTCAGCTCTGGTCTGTCTCCCAAGAGAGGCCAATATTGAAAGGAAACCCAATCTTTTCCTGAGGAGAGAAAGGCTCTTAAATCCTGGTAAAAGACTTTTCAGAAAGCAGCTAGAAGATGGGGGTATTCTTTTTCAGACAATCAAGGGGAAAATATCTTATCCTAGGATAACATCCTTGAAGCCCTGTTAGGTCCAGGTCCAGGAAAGGAGTTGCTGGTATCAATTGTGACTTATGGTTTAATAAGTTAAGAAGGTAAGAAAGCATTGCAGCATCTGAAAGCCTGTATTCTAGGCCTCTAGTTCCAGCTCTGACTTTGTTATCTTGTGACTTTGAGTAAGCATCTTTCTCTCTCTAGGCCTCAACTTACCTATATGTACCATGAAGAAATGTGACTAAGTGATTTCTAAATGCTTTTCCAGTTATTCCAGAAGTCTCCAAATTCCATCTTCCCTGGAACATTAACCCTTTTTCTTGCAGTGAATTGCCATTTGGTGGTTTTGAGGTATCTATAATGGGCAGAGCATTCCCCCAGGAAGTGCAACTTTCCTGAAATGGGTTTTTTCCCACCAAATCTTCCAGTAAAGTCAGGAGTATAGCTTAATTTGGCCAACTTTTCACATTGGCTGCCAAGCCAGCCCTATTACTGGAGATAAAGGCTGCTGTATTCTCTGTGGCTGCCCTAAAACCCACAGACAGCCTGTTACCTGCCCATAACTTAGTAGATTTTATCAGACTGAAGAGGATGATTCTTTGCCTTTCCATGTGAAAAATTATCTTTCATGTCAACATTAAGGGTGACTAAATGAATCTGTTTATCCAGGGTAAGACATATTGAAAAATTCTATAGGATAGGAAAATTAAGACAAATATGAAAAGTTTCACTTGGGGCTTAGGACAAGACTGACATTTATCCAGCACCCACAGAATGCCAGCCATATGCTAGTTGCTTTCACACTTACAAGCTTATTTAATCTTCACAATTACCCTCTATGGAATGTTTATTATAACTTCCACTTTTTTGATAAGTTCAGTTAGTTTAGAGGTCAGACAGGTTTAGTAATTTATCCAAGGTCACACAGAGAGATATATGGTAAAGCAGACCTTAGGCCTACATCGATGTTATTCTTACTATATCATGCAGTTCTTCACTACCCTCCTGATCTCACTTGTTGCTCTTATTAGATGTTTCTCTAGGTTCTTTGGGCACCACAAGGATAAATTGAAAGTATAAGTCAATGCTATTGCAGTTACCTTTACTTTGGAGATCAGGAAACATGAAGAATAATACAATGTCTTTTTTCTTGTGATGCCTTATGCATCCACTCTCTTTATGCTGCTAATGAAGCAGAAGGAGAAGAGGAGAGAGAAGAAGAAGAAGGATGAAAAATAGGAACAGAAGCTCAAAGGAAGAATGGGTAGAAAGAAGAAAGAAAGAAGGAGAGAGAGAGGAGGGAAAAAAAACACATCATTCTGGGAAGTTTAGTTTCCAACTCTGCCCCATGCCCTCATTCTGGGATGGAGGAATAAAGCCTGATCTACTTCTAGAAGTGACTTTCAAAATTGGGAAATTGAGCCTAACTGGTCATGTTCTTGGTAGACCAGATTGGGCTATGTGAGAATATCCAGAAATTTCCAGAGAAAGGAATGCAAGCCAGGTCTTGCAGCTTCCCTAAGATCAAAGGGAAAGCAAGTATTTGCATAGACAAAGGCATTGTCAGTTACTCCGGATGTTCTCACAGCAGAATGTTGCTTTGTTGCCCAGGAGGAGAGTGTGAGAATGCTTTTCAGAAGAGAATGGGGAGATTAGGGAGGACCAGAGGGATATTAATGGGAAAGAATCCATTAATACAAGAGGCTCAGGTAGTTTTCATGAGGTTTAAGGATGGTGTATTTTTGCTTGCATGTGGCCAAAAATATGTAAGGGCATGTGTGCCCATGATGGTAAGCTGTATCTGCATGCACATGTAAGTATTAACTATCAATACCATAATGCAACCCACCACCTGGACATGTAATTATGTAACTTCTGTTTTATTACAGTCTACTAACACTGGACCATCTAGAATTGGAAGGAACCTTAAAGAGTAATGCTAGTCAAGACCCAAGCAAAACTCAGAAACTCTCCAGACAGCTTAGTCCATCTATAGACAATTTTGATTAATTGTAAACTTCATTTTAGGACCAATCATTTCTTCTATGATTTGGAAAGCAGAAAAAAATATACAAATAGATAAGAATGAGGAAAATAGGGCAAACCAAAATCTGCCTCTCTTGTTCTCCCATTGGTTGGTCTGAGTTTTGCTGTCTGCCAAGTCAGAAACTTTCCAGGGAGGATGTAATACATTTATTTATTCTTTTCCACTCAAGGCCTTTAACTTGGCCAAAATATGCTGTTATGTTCTAAGAGTCTCTGGTGAGGCCACAAGCCAGAGGCTCGACATTAGGATTTCCATTGCTAGACACTCTGGTGCTTGACAATACATTCTGGGAGCTAGAAACCATATCTTTACCCCATCCAAAAGGTTTCATTTTCCATCTGCTTGACTGAATCCTAGAAATCTTGGACTTAATACAAGGCTTCTATTCAATAATAGCTCATATCTTTGAAGCGACTTCTTCTAGGAGAAACATAAACAACCCCTCCCCCACTTCTGGCCTCAGTTAAATAAAACACAAAATCCTGAAACTATGAGCTTATGGAAGGAGAAGGATGGAAATTTCTGATAATAATGGCTGTTTCAACTTCCCACCTCTCCCACCTCCAGTTTCTTTCTCAAGTACACCAAGGAGTAATCTCCTTTTGCTCCTACCCCCATCCCGACCAGATCCAGCTCCAGGATTTTACTCAAACCCTTTTCCTCTCCAGACCAAGTCTTTTTTCCCCCCTCAGGATGGAATTTTCTAGTGTGTCCTTGCTGAGAACCAAGAAAAACCAAGATGGAGATAAACAAAGAAAAAGAAATCTGAAAAAGGTCAGATTTAGAAAGTACAGGTTTCAAACCTAACCATAACTAATAATTTTGTCAAGCAGAAATGCACACGTAGGCCTGTTCCTCACGGGGTTCTATCCCCAGTATTGCCTGTCTCTGAAAGGGCAGACCGAGAGTGGGAAGCCATTTTTCATCTTGTTCTTAAACCCTGACACAATGATGAGAAAGTAGAAGCAATGCTTTTGGAGAAATGCACACTTTAGGTATACTTAACTTTACCGACTTCGTCTTTTCAGAAACAGACTTCCAGGTACCAGAGGTATCTCATAGTGGCAATCAAGCTTGCCTAGAGTAAAGGGAATTTAGAAGGCCTAAGACATCATGCATTGGGCAAGGACTGTAAAAGTCATGAAACTTGTAACTACAAAAGTTATAACCACTCAGAGGGGGAGCAGGCGGGGATTCGATCTTCCAGTAAATTGGGCCCTATCTACAGGGAAGCCAAGGATCCCCCAAAGCTACCCACAGGGAATGCCTAGGAGATAAGGGGAGGTGCACCCTCCACTAGCTCTAAGGAATGTCGTTTGGGAAGGTGCAGGAGAATTAGAATCCTTGTCACGCCCTTCTCTAGGGGCTATGATAATGTGGGCAAACATTAATGGGTCTCTGTGTTACAGGTTCTCCAGGACATCCACAGGTGGTTGATAAGGAAGTCACAGCAGTCACGGCAGTCACGTGCAACATCTCCAAGAAAAGGATTTAAACTAGGACTCTGGGGGCTACGACGCCACACTCACCTAGAGTGTAGGCCCACCCCTTATCTGTGGGAGGCGAACTTTTCTTAAATAAATCTTTTCTTCTCTCACCTCTGTGTGTTGCAATTCTTTGCATTTACTTGGATCTCTGGGTTGCCAGTGCGCACCTCCAGCTTGCCAGCCCTGGCAGTGCTGCGTGCCTCCCTGAGCCCCTCTACCTTCACCCTGTCCATCCGTACCCTAACAGTCTCCTTCCTGTCTTCCAGAGGAAAGCTTAGGGTTGATAACCCAATCACAAAGCCCTTATTAGGGAACAAGGGAGAATAACAGGGTAAAGGACCTTTTCGTGCTGAACCCTCAAGTTCCCATGTTTTTCCAGGTACATATTTACACAAAATGAAACAGTCCAGACCCACTGCTTAGTATTTTTGCTCCCATTACTCTTTTGGAAAATGTTGAAAGAAAAATGTTTTTATGGACTTGCAGAATGTCAGAGTTGGCAGAATCCCTAGAAAATATTCCATCCTGATTCTCCACATTATAGATGAAGAAACTAGGTTCTCCGTAGTGGAAGGTTACGTACCCAGGTTCATCTCATAGCAAGGCAGTAACATGAAAAGGACTTAAAACTCACAGGTACTGAACAATGTTAAGGATTGTCCTTCTGAGAACAAGTACTGATTGTTGGGAAGGCTGGCAAAGAACAAAAGGGCACAGGGGGCACAAAAGTATAAAAGAAGTAAAGTTGAGAGGTGTTTCTCAGAAACCTTTTGAGGTCTGTCACTGCCATCCTACCTCCCAGGTAGGTATGCCATCTATGTTCACTTCTCTCCTCTTTTCCTCTTCTTCAAGCCATCCCATACTGGAAACTCCAGAGAGCATGATAGGGCCCTGGACAGGGGATGTGAATGTTCCCTGAACTTACAATCCCCTTTACTACACTCAAGCTGTGGTGAAGGGGCTGGTGTGACATGGTTCAGGCCCAGTCACCATCTTCCTAAGTGACTCCTCTGGAGATTATATTCAGCAAGCAAAGTAACAGGCCTGCTTGTATGTGAGCCATAACATTCCATGAAATATGTCCCTCTAACTGAATACCCTGGAGATGGATGACTGGAGTCACTACATGTGTGAAGTCACCTGGCAAACCCCTGGTGGTAACAAAGTGGTAAAAGATAAGATTACTGAATTCCATGTCCAGAAATATGAGTCATTATGGGTATAGAAAGGCACTGATAGGCAAAGAATCTATAGAGGACTGTAATTCTAGAAACTTCTGAGAAACCTGGAGACTGTTGTTTATCTGTATGTAGCCTCTCTTCAGTTCTATGTGTTTATCAGAGGGAGTGGACAGGCAGAGAATTCTAAGGGTCGTTATATCCCTAGTGGAATTTAAGTAGGGTTCCTGACCTTCAAATCTTTGTGCCTTCAAATGTCACAGAAATTCTGGCATCCAAAGCCTGGTTGCCTTCTTTGGACTATGGGCTTTCAAACTCATAAAAACCGGTATATCTGATCATAATACTGGAGACTAGACAGATACTGACAGAGAAGCTCTAGAAAAGGGAGAGAGAAGTTAGCCAGGATAAGCTTTTCTTGGCTTGACAAATTCTTTTTTTTTTTTTTTTTTTTTTTTTTTGGGAGTGGGCTCGACAATTTTACAAAGGTCTGGCCCTAGTAATCTAAAACTTCAGATAATCCAAAAATGCTATTTTATCCTTAAAACGCTATATTATTTATAACTTTGGATAATCTAAAACCCCAGATAATACAAAAAATACTTAATCCTTCAAAGGAAGCTATTTTTATTTGCATTGCTGTTTTCTCTCCTTTCTCCCAAGTCATGAGCCCCCTTTAGTTCCAGTTGCAGATCTATGCATGTCTTTATGCCCATCAGGAATGACTTGGTCTTGTGTCCCCACATCCTTATGACTCCTCATCTTTCCTTGGCAGTCTCTGTCTTCAAACCCACAGTGATAACTGGCAGTGATTTTGGCTTCATGGTGCCCAAGGAATGAGAATTAGCTTTCAAGGCCAGGTTTGGGGTTCTCCCCCATCAGTCATGTTTGGTATAAGGAGCAAGCTAATAACCAGGAACCCATCAAAGTAGCAGCTTTAAGTAACTTACTCTTCAAGCCTGCAGTGGTGGCTGACTTGGGCTCCTATTTCTGTATTGCAAAGGGCCAGGTTGGCTCTGAGCAGCACAGCAACATTGTGAAGTTTGTGGTTAAAGGTGACCAGCCTTCTTTCCTGGTGAGCATCTTATCAGATCACCTTGAACCACAGATACCTCAAAACATGCCCCTATGCCAGAGAACGGCTGAAGGAGTAGGGTCCCAGGTAGACAATGTTTGTACAATAACAAATTTAAAAATTGAGTACTGGAATCAACAGGGATAGAGATATTGCCTGTCATGTTGTAGGTTAAGTAGATAAAGTTGGTAAAGGGAAAAGTGCCATTAACTAGGTACCTCACGTCTGCCAGTTACAAAGTACAAGAACTTGACCCACATTTTCTCACTGAAACCTCGCAACTGGCCCATGAGGTAGCTATCATTACTTTCATTTTACAGAAGAGAAAACAGAGTCAGAAAGGAAATTTACTTGACCATGGGCTCACAGCAAGGAAGTACAAATACAGATTTGCACTTGGATTTAATGCTTTTTTCACTATATCTGATTGTTTCTTTCTTTCTCCTTTTTTTTTTTTTTTTTTTTGAGTTGGAGTCTCTCTCTGTCGCCCAGACTGGAGTGCAGCGGCACGCTCCTGGCCACCGCAGCCTCAACCTGCTGGACTCCGGCGATCCTTCCGCCTCAGCCTTCCAAGTAGCTGGCACTATAGGCGTGCGCTACCACACCTGGTTAATTTTTTATTTATTGTAGAGATGAGGTCTCACCAAGTTGCTCAGGCAGGTCTCGAACCTGTGCACTCAGGCAATCCACTCACCTCAGCCTCCCAAAGTGCTGGGATTACAGGCTGAGTCACCAAGCCCAGCCGCTCTGACTGTTTCTTATGATTGAATCTATAGCAGGTCCTAAGCACCTATTAGAAGCTGTTTTCTTTTGTCTGTTCTGCTTGGTTATTGTTTGATTTAATTGATTATGTTTGGTTTTGCTTTATGAAATAAAGCCCTGATCTCTACATATTTTCTTTTCACTTCCTTCCTTTTTATAAAGCCAAATGCAAGTTCTGGTTGATGACTGCATGAAAATAGGCTCTAGTTAATCAAGCTCTGACTGGCTCTTACAGCACTGTCCTGGAAACACTACAAACTATGCACATAAAGACTATAGGCAGGAGTTTAAATGAAGAGCCCAGCAGTGGTATGTAAAGATGAGTCTTATTTCCTTTAAAGAGATCTCCTTGGAAAGCAAGACACTTACCCCAACAAGGCTGCTATTACTCAAAACATGTTGATAACTAACTACTTTTAGGAAATTAGCCTCAGAACCACTTGAATATTACTGTTCTCTGTCGATAACTCTGTATAAGAAGAGTGAGCAAATGAGTTGTCATCACTTGGTTTGATATTGGTTTGAAACTCCTGTGCTTGTCTGGAGAGATTTGTTCCCAAAGTTGAGTTGTAGTGAGGGCATGTGTACTGTAAATCCTGGTTTGTTAGTTTTGAAGGGGAACAAGGGCAGAGAGAGAGAGAAATATGGACAGTGCCCCATTTCTCTGAGAGCAAACAGTCTGGTCAAAGAAAGCAGTGCATGATCAGAAAATGCAAGAATGTGTACTTCATCAAGAGACAAATTGAATATTCACACCTTTCTGTAAATTACTTCCTAGATCACGTGGGTAGAAACTTGCTCAGAGCCAACCAGTCTGTTTATTCCTTATCACAGTCAATGTTTAACACAGCAATGTTTTTAGGCAGTGCTCACCATTGCTCCCCACTAATAGATAAGGAAACTGAACCTCAGAGAAACTCCCAGCCTTCTACTCTATCCTGCTCTTTGAGTTAAACTACTCTCTTGGCTTCCTCTACCTGCTTCCCTCTACCCCAACCTGGACCCATGAGTCTGGTCCACTGTTTCACCTCTGCCCTACTCTCAAATTTGCACCCTTCCATCTCACCTTCTGTGGTGTTACTTAGTTCTGGAATTGTATTGCAGACAATGCTTTTGCTCATGCCCTTGGACTGCTGAGTTCTGTTGACAAACAAAACAATACACACATATAAATTGTCCTCGCTTTAGTTTTATGCTCTGTGACATCCACAGTCTGCCCCATGCTGTTCATTTATCCATTTACTCAACTTTTTCTTGTTTCATTTAGCAGTTCAGAACATTTCCACCTTATTTCAGCCCCCGCCCCCAGCCCCGTTCCTAGAAAATGAGATCATCTCTTTCTTCTCTGAGAAGATCCAGACTCTCTTCTGATGTGAATTCTGTCAACTACCCTAATCTCTCCCTTGACATTTTTCTACCCATTTTCCTCGACTCAGAGTAGCGTATGCCTTGCTCTTCTCTACAGTAAATTTTTCCTTCCGAACTCTTAACCTCAGCAACTCCAGTGCCCTGCTTTGTATTTTATCCTTTACTCAAGCATATATATAAATATATCCATATAGTGTATTATGTATGTATGCAAGCCTAATACATACATATCTACAAATAATATATATTTTTAAGAAATTATCTTCATCTGCCACTCCATCTTTCCTATGGCCACTACCAACCTTCTCAAGAAAGTAGTTTCCATCAGCTGAACCTCCCAATTCACCACAACATAACTTTGTAAACTGGGATCATCATGACCTCCAAATCACCAAAACCTAAGATCTCTCCATTCACATCCATCTTCCTCCACATCGCTGTAGCAGTTGTCTGTGTTGACCATTCCTTTCTCCTCAGAAATGTATTTCAACCACTGCTGTCAATGACACCACTTTCTTAGTTTTTCTAAGACCTCTCTGACTCATCTTTCTCAGACCTTTTTGCTGGCTATATTTTTCATTCATCCCTTATTATAAATGTTCTCAAAGACTGTGTTTGTATTCCTTTCTTCGTGTGTCTCTATATTACCTGAAGATTCTATTCCCTTCTGTGGCTTCAAATATCACCTGTAAGCTAACTAATCTCAAGCCATAATTTTATACATTGTTTACCTCCTGAGTGTTGGATACCAATGTCTAATTACCTTCTGAACAACTTCATTTCCATTCTCAGCTTGTCCAAAACTGAGTTTACCTTTTATTCGCCAAGACTGTTCCTCACACCTGTTAGGAGACACAGTGGTGTCTCTAACTTTTTCTTCTTTACTTCTCACAGTCAAATAATTATCAATATGACCAAGTGCTTTAATTCAATTACTAAGTCAGATCTCCTATTAAAATAGCTCCCCCTTTCTCTTCCTTTTTTTCCCAAACAATTTCAATAATCTTCTAGGTCATCTCCCAATGTCCATACATCCTTACCAAACCATCAACTACACTAGACTATAAAATTCAAGAGTGCAAAATTCTGCCTATTTACTTCATGGCTGTTCTCCAGAGTCCAGTAAAGTTCTTGGCATATAGGAGACACTAAATGAACACTGTATTTGTTAGTGAATGAACAAAATATGCTACTCCCTCGCCTTCAAAAATCCCACCACATTATTGTCAGGATTTTTTTTAACTTAGACTGAATAGTTTTTGCCTTATTTTTCAATAATCTTCTGTTATTCCTCATGAATCCTTCTACCCAAAGAACAAAACCCAAACTCTTTTAATCTGTCTTCAGCCTACCTAACCAGTTTTATCTTCTAATATATCTCTCCACATTTGAAACATAGTGTTCTGTTCCCTCTGCCTGCAGTGCTATCCTTCTCAACCCAAAATACCTTTCACTGATGTCTTCTTTTTGTACTGAGGTATACTTTACATTCTAAAAAAAATTAAGTACACAATTTATTGCTTCATATTGCTGTGCAGCTGTCATCATTATCTAATTCAGAACTATTTCAATCACCCCCAAATGAAGCCCCATACCTATTAAGTAGTCACTTTCATTTTCTTATCTCTCAACACCTGAGAAACACTAATCTGCTTGGTCTCTAAGGATTTACCCATTCTGAATATTTTATATAAATTGAATCATATACTATGTGACATTTGGTGCCTGTTTTATTTCACTTAGCATAATATTCTCAAGGTTTATTCACGTTGTAGCATGTGTCAGTACTTCATTCTTTTTGTTGCTGGGTAATATTTCATTGTATGACTCTATCACATGTTATTTATCCATTCGTCAATCAGAGGGCATTTGGATTGTATCTACATTTTGGCCATTATGTATAATGTTGCTATGATCAATCATGTAAAATTTTTTGTGTGGACATATGTTTCCATTCCCTTAAGCATATGACTAAGATTGGAATGACTTGGTCATATAATAACTAACTATATGTTCAACTTTTTGAAAGAGTATCAAACTCTTTCCCAAAGTGGCTGCACAATTTTACCTTCCCACTAGTAATACATAAGGGTTGCAATTTCTCTACATCCTCACTAACACGTATTATTGTGTTTTATTTTTTAGATTATAGCCTTCCTAGTGGGTGTGAAGTGGAATCTCATTGTGATTGTGATTTGCATGTTCCTAATGACCATTGATGTTGATTATCTTTGCATATGCTTATTGGCCATATGCATGCCTTCTTTAGAGAACTGTCAATCAAACACTTTACCCATTTTTAAATTGGATTGTTTGGGGATTTTTGTTGTTGAGCTGTAAGAGTTCTTCATATATTCATAATACTATATTCTTATCAGATATATTATTTAAAAATATTTTCTCACATTATTTATGCTGTATTATCACTTTCTTGGCAGTTTCCTTTGTGGCACTGAAGTTTTTAATTTTTATAAAATTTACTGTATCTTTTTTTTATAATTATGTTTTTGGTGTCATAGCTAAGACTCTATTGCCAGACATAACTTCATGAGTATTTACCCCTAGACTTTTTTAAAAGAGTTTTGACTCTTACATTTAGGTCTTTGATCCATTTTGAGTTAATTTAGATATATGATGTGAGATAGAGACCCAGTTTCATTCTTTTCCTTATGGTTATCCTGTTGTACCAGCACCATTAGCTGAAGAGATGATGTTTTGCAATCAAATAGTCTTGGCAGCCTTATTAAAAATCAATGACCAATGATATATATGTATACTTCTGAACTCTCAATTGATTAAATTTGTTTCTAGATATTATGTTATTTCTATGCTAGTATAATGAAATTTGTTCTTAAAATAATCTTTGGATTGTTCATTGCTAATGTATAAAAAGATAACTAATTTTTGCATATTGATCTTGTATTCTGCAATATTGTTGAACTCACTCATTGGTTATAGTCACGGTTTTCTGAATTTTAAATAGTTTTCTATATGTGATCATGTCCTCTGAAAGTAGA